GATAAAGACGCGATAAAGGCATTAGTTGATGTGAACCGGCGAACAACACGTGAGATCGGATTGAGGTTAAATTTATCAAATTCAACAGTTTATGACCACTTGAAAGGCCTGGGATTATCCTCGAAGCTCGATGTATGGGTTCCCCATGTTCTCACAGAGAGAAATCTGTGTCGCCGCATTGACGTCTGCGATTCGCTTCTCAAACGTCACGAAAATGATCCGTTTTTGAAGCGCATCATCACTGGGGACGAAAAATGGGTTGTATACAACAACGTCAAACGCAAGAGGTCATGGAGCAAAAAAGATGAACCGGCTCAAACCATTTCCAAAGCCGATATTCACCAAAAAAAGGTGATGCTGTCTGTTTGGTGGGATTTTAAAGGAATCGTTTTTTTTGAGCTTTTACCGGATAACACAACGATTAATTCGGAAGTCTACTGTCATCAGCTGGACAAACTGAATGATGCACTTCAACAGAAAAGGTCAGAACTAATCAACAGGAAAGGTGTAGTGTTTCACCAAGACAACGCGAGACCTCACACAAGTTTGGTCACTCGCCAAAAGCTTTTACAGCTTGAATGGGATACAATGCTACACCCACCATATTCTCCAGACCTGGCACCATCGGATTATTATTTGTTCCGGTCACTCCAAAATTTTTTAGACGGTAAAACCTTCACCTCAAATGAGGAGGTCAAAAACCTCCTCGATCAGTTTTTTGCCAGCAAAGACCAAAAATTTTATGAGCGTGGAATTATGCTACTACCAGAAAGATGGCAAAAGGTGTTGGACCAGAACGGTCAATATATAATTTAATAAAGTATTTGTTTATTATACGAAAACTGTCTTTCATTTCCACAAAAAAAAACGAAATGACTTTCCGAACAACCCTATATATTATTATACTACTGTATGTAGCAGTAAATACATTTTTATGCTTAACGTAATCATTTATTTTAATAAATAATGAAGCAAGAACTGTCTAGGTACCTATTACTTAATACATGTGTTGTACAGTTTACCGTCCTGATGAATATACCTTTAATACAGGCGAATTGAAAATTGAACGTAGGTATTACTTGCATCATCTTTTGAAAAATATGATATGACATAGGGAAATAGGTAGAAATACCTTTCCTCTTTGTAAATATCCACTAAAGTAATAAGTAATTATATAAAAAAAACATCCCTCACACCTTATCATTTTGGGATTTGGTAGGGGGGGGGGTTTCTTAGTGAACTGGGGTGTGGGTTGTGTGTTGTTTAAGTTTATAATTATGTTAATACATGCATATAATAAGGTAGGTATGTATTCAATAATGATTGAAGCTGACGTCAGTTATCGAATAATGCTTTAATTAGGATTATAAACCATAACACTACGGTAGGAATAGGAACATTATAGAAGTTTACTTTACACGTTACTTGCTTTCATTTTCTCAAATAAAACATCCTGTATATTGTATTTTCGAATCGTAGGTGTCTATGCCGCTGTGACTATCGCGCGTTATGCGTTATCTGTGCAAATAAAAAGTTTTTATCACATTCTTGGAAACAAAACTGTACCTACCTATCAAATGAAAAATTGTAATTTTGTACACAAAACGTAAATCCTTAGCTCACTTAATGCTAAAATACTACCCTCACAAATTCAAAATGTTCCGGTTATTTGAGGAATTGTCCGAAAAAGAAACCAACATTTCTTAATAAAATCGAAAAATTGTTCAATTGTAGATCTGACAACTAAATAAAGCTACACCGTTCCAGTAAAAATATTAAGACAGGTAGCGCTCACGGGAAACTATACATTTTGTACAATCGACAATATTTTTAGAATATAAAGAGATTCATTTGGCGAATTTATTACTTGAATAATATTTTTGTAAAACCAACAACAACGACATGGTCTTCCATCCGCACACTATTGCCCCATCGCATATACAAGGTGGCCCAATAAGTACGCAATATGCTCATCACAGTCACATTGTTTGTTTAACAGAAAATTTTTTCAAACAAAGCTAGTTCCCTATTTTAATACAAGATCATCTGTGTTATCCAAATTTTATTTACTATGCAGAGTGGTGGAAAATAATATGGGTCCAATCAAAAGTTATAGGAAAAGTTGTTCAGAATTACAAAATATGGAGCTATGCAAAAATCCCAGTAATACGTATTAGATAGACACGTACATTATAAATAGTATAATATTTATCAGTACCAATACTCACAAATTCAAACAAGTATAACTTTTTTTAACGCAATACCATATTTTTTCGAGAATAGTAGTATAATGCAAAATTAAAATTCCTTTCGACTGATATAAATAACAGTAGTTTCTGAGAAATTTACACTTTTTTTTAAATTTTCAGTAATTTCGCATTATCAAGTGACTGTGACTCACCCTGTCGACATACCTACGTACAGGAACTTGGTAAAATTTAATTTTATTGTAAGTATTTGCTTGGTGCAAGGTTATGCAAAATTTGCCAATTATATTATGCTTATTACAAATAACTGTTCCTTAGCTGCCCTAGGAAGTGTAGGGCAGTTAAGGAACAGTGGGTTGATAGGATGTGTAAAGAAGTAGAAGAAATGTTTTAAGTAGGTAAAACCAATAAGGCGTATAATATAATTAAAAGGAATTTTAGAGAGGTAGGATACAGTAGTAATAATATAAGAAACGAGGCAGGGGTCATTTTGATAGGAAACGAGGAAAAGGCAGATAGGTAGAAAGGTAGGTAGGAACGTAGTAGTAACATTACCTAAAAAGAGGAGCGCGGATAGGTGCGAGACATTTCGAACAATTAGCTTAACTGATCATGCATCAAAAATCTTAACTAGAACTATACAGAGGAGGATGGAAAAAAGGGCGGAAGAACTATTAGGGGAAGATCAATTTGGGTTTAAAAGAAATGGAGGAACGCGAGAGGTCATTCTAGCTTTATGGGTAACAATAGAGAAAACGATAGAAAACGGAAAGAGTGCCTACACAGGATTTGTAAATTTAGAAAAAGCTTTTGACAATGTTAAATGGGACAAGATGTTAAATATACTTAAAAATGTAGGGATGAGTTACAAAGATAGAAGAGTGATACTTAGTTTATATAAAGAGCAACAGGCAGTTATAGATCTAGGGATGCAACGTAGAGAAGTAAATATTAAGAAGGGAGTCAGACAGGGATGCGCACTGTCACCGCTACTTTTTAACCTATACATAGAAGACACCATCAACACCATTAAAGACAGTACAACTGTAGGGATAGGTATACAGGGGCAAAAGATCAGTATGATTAGATTTAAAGATGATATAGCAGTATTAGCATCTAGCAAGGACTTAGAGATAGCTTTAAATAAAATGGAAGCGGTACTGGCAGATCAGTACTGTATGAAAATAAATAAAAGTAAAACTAAAATACTGATATGCAAGGGAAGAAAAAGTAGGGAAAGAGCGAATATAAAGATAAGAGACGAAAACTTAGAAGAAGTGGCTAATTTTAGATATCTAGAAAGTCAGATAAGTCAGGACGGAAGAGTAGTAGGGATATAAAGCAGAGGATAGTGCAAGGTCGTGTCGAAGTCACTTCTATGCTCGCGAACGGTTAATTTAGAAATTCGAAAAAGGTTGTTAAAGGAGTATGTTTGAAGCCCGGCGATGTACGGGTGCGAAACATGGACAGTAGGCGCGGCGGAAAAAAAAGGTTAGAAGCCTTCGAAATGTGGTGTTATAGGCGAAAGATGAGGATAACGTGGGTAGAAAAGATTAGAAATGAAGAGGTATTGGAAAGAATAGGAGAACAGAGGACTCTATGGAAGTCAATAAAAAATAGGCGAGATAGGTTGGTAGGACACCTTCTCAGGCATAAAGGTCTAGTCAGAGACATGTTACAGGCAGAAACAGCAGTAAGGGGGTAGAGGTAGACCTAGGTTGGATTACTGTTCACAAATAGTTAAGGATGTGGGTTGTTCTAGTTTTAGGGAAATGCTACGTTTAGCTCAGGATAGGAAAGAGGGGAGGTACGTGTCCAACCAGTCTTAGGACTGACGATTATTATATACTTGATACAGACAAAAATAATAGCTAGTAACCTCTGCCTTGTTCCATGTTAGTTGATTAACATAATTGTTTACACCGCTTGTCACAGTCTATTACAATTTTAGATGGTAAATTGCAATAATTCTACAATTCTCGCTTTATTTGCCGGCGTTTAACGTGTATTCGCCAACGTCAACAGATTCATGTATATGAGAAATTTCCCGACGTCAGCGATGTGGTCCGCGCGTACTTTTGAATTTTTGTATTAAACCTGTTTCCTAATCAGTAGACAACCAAAATTATTTTAATGACAAAATGCTCACAGGGCCATCTCGTATGATGTGTGTCACCTATCAGGATTGACAGAGTAAAAACCCCGTGGTATAGGACCATATAGGACTTTGTATGTTTCATATATATAGAACGGCTAATGTAGCTGAGCGGTTTTAGAACGACAGGAAGTCGATCGAAATAAAATTTGTATTGTAAAATAAAATTGAACAATAAAATAGAATACTTGAATTATTGATCTAAGATTTAACTGAAGTTATTCTAAAATGTGAATTAATCTTCTACTTTGTAATTTTAATTGCGATTAAAATCCTTTAAAAAACCAAAAATAAAATTATTGCACTAATAAGACCGCGTTGTAATTTGTGTTAAAACGCAATTATTTTTATACAAGCAAATACCTGAACACATCAAATATCAATTTCATTAAGTAAAACATCCCAATCTGAATTTGATAGATGTTCAAGAATCATTAAATGTTGCAAGCTTATTTCAATCCAATTAATGTGTAGATAAAATGAGCCATTACAAATGCTTTTTCAGACAAATCATACCTTAATGCGTTTTTTAGAACAAACCAATTATACTATCCCATTATATATAATCTGTTAATATAAATTTTCTAAGTCGTACAAATGGAATATTTATCTTATGGGTAGGTACTCATTCTTACAGCTTTTACAAGTATTATACTTTTATTTAAACAGCCATACCGAACTATACACATTCAAAAGAAGGAATTATTCCTGTTGCAATTTGGGTACATATAGATAACTTGTAAAATCAAGTAAAACAAATTATTATCTGTAAATTTACAGTTCAAAAAGTATATAAATTATATAGCAGTTTAAAGCATATTGTAGTATTAATCATGAAAGTCATTAATCTTATTTAAGTTTAATATAGTAGAATTGTAATGAGCACCAAGACGATATAAATATCGATGGTATGTTAGAATAAGAGGTGGTCCTTCGTAATTTTCCCCTTGCAATGCAATTGGTCCATTACCCTGTATTACTTTTATAGGACATTTAAGGGTACTCGAGAGTGCTTTAATTTCTAATTGACTTCCCCACATTTTTGTTTTTTCCACATCATTACAATATTTTTCAAACAATTCCTCAGTCATTGGGTCTTCATTTGGAGTATACATAAATGGCATGAAATCATCTTTATTGTCACGCATATAATTTGCTGTTAATTTTCTAAGTTTTGAAATTGTCAGTGTATCTCTCCCAGTTATTTCTAACTGGTGATTTATTGCATAATATAAACAATTTCCATCTGCAGGTATGTTATACATTTCAAGTCCTTGTGACTTTAGAATCTGCTCAATTGATTGTAATTCCATTGCTCTAGGCCCTAATTTATTTACTTCTTCTTGTTCTTGAATCCTTTTTTCTCGCTCTTGTTGTTCATGTTGCTTTTTATTCCTCCTCTTTTGTGCTCTTGAAAGACGTGGTATTGACTTTTCCTGTTCAATTTCAGTTTCATTATCATTACATGAAATTTGCTCTATTACATCTAAATTACTTTTTACGTCTAAAAATTTATCAATTTCTTCTGCTTGCTTATTTTCAAGATCTTTTTCTAATTGAGCTATCATATCTGCAACTTCTTTTTTTTTCTTTTTGTCTCCTTTAGAAGTCGTTTTCTTAAGGGACTGAATCTTACTTTGCAATTCTTTCTTTTCTACGCGATGCCTGTTACGAATTTCTTCTAATTCTTTCGATTCATCTTTATTTTCATTCATTTTATTTTCTATTACAAATTATAAATTCACCTGTACACTACCCTTATAATCTTATAATTATTCATCTACTCCCATAGATTACATCTACCATAGAAGTCTACTAACCATAGATATTATATCGACTTTTACTAATGGACATGCCTTAACGTACGGTGTCCAAGGCGCGACTTTTTATTTAATATTGACTAAACCTCTGTTTGAGGGCGCGCAAATCAGTGCATTTCGAATGAGGCATCTATTACCCTTTGTATATCTATTATCTATGGCACGACTGCGGGCGCCGGCATCAGCCGCAGCGGCGAGTCGCGCCACTGCTATTATGGATATTACCCTTTGTGTATCTAGTATCTATGGATATTGCGTTGTACCGTTCTGCAAGAAGCGACAGTCGCAGGCTGCTACAGGGGAGGCGCGGTTTGACTGGTTAAGGGCCGTAGTCTAAGTGAACAGAATAATTCACTTAGACACGGCCCTATAGCCCAAATCTTCATTCTACTATATCTGTACATGTTGAAAACTGATTGATAATAATAATAAAATGAAAAATCATTTACGTTGTTATGGTTACTGCAAAGACAGGCTGAATAAACCAACATTTCTAAAATCGAATCGTAGCCCTACTATATCGCATTTCGTAGCTGGCTACCCAATGGCTAGCCGTAATTGTGTTACCAAGACAGAAATAGTTGGAACAAACTTGAACGAGCAGAGCTCTCGATGGGCGGTCTTAGCTGATCGGCTAGAACTGTACAGTACTAGACGAAAATGTATTGTTAAAGCAAAAATGTATTTAAATTAACAATAGAAAACAAACCAAAAGGTTTATAGAAAAGTATGTAGAGCGTTAATTTATTTAACTTATTATTTTTGACTAAATATGCTTTTAAATTAAATTTTAACGAGGCAGTTTAAATATCATTGCTCTTCGTAACAGCATTAAACATTGTCAGTACCTACGTCATAGAGAAAAGATTTTAATTACTTTTTAATAATCTACTGTTATCTTATTAGCGTTTACTATCTATTTGAAACAATCTAAATTTAATTTTGTAAGCACAATATAAAGTAAAAGTAGAAACAGGACACTGTGGTAAATATCAATTAAAAATAAGACACCTTTAATTGCCATAAAAAACTTTTTGAGCGGACACGTGTTTCGCCCACTTCATACGTGGGCATTATTAACGCGAGAGTGGTCTTTTTTTTTAATTTTTTAAATAATATAAAGTAATTATGCAAAGTTTATAGCTCGATGTCGTTTTGATTTTGAAATAGAATTGTTGGCTCTAAAAACGGCTGTTTTAATAAACAAGCGCTAAATATTCAGTATATTTCCCTACTCTTCATCGTTTGAGTCAGAAGATTCATCGTCGACTCCTACTTCAAAAACAAAGTCTTCAACGACCCTTTCAATCGCTGGATCTTCTAATGTGTATGCATCTTCTTGTTTAATAACTTTGTTACACACACTCCCATTTTTCGATAGAAAAACTTGAGAAAAATTCTTCACAAAGTTTTTTTACGTCACCCAAGTTAAAAGACACAATGCGTTCAATAACAAAATGTTTTAGAGCTGCCCAAACATATTCAATTGGGTTTAATTCTGGATTATATGGCGGTAATCGACAAACATCATGACCAGCTTCTTGGATTATTTTGTCGATGTCGTAGATTTTAAACTTCAGCTTAAGCAGTTTTATAATTTGGTACAATTCTACTTTAAGAATACTGTCGTCAAAATCTAAATGTCTTTTTCGTAGCCAATTCTGAATCTCTGTTTTTAAGGAGTTCGAATTAGCGCATTTTTCTTTTTGAACGTTGTGGTATGGGGCATTGTCAATAATTACAATTGACTTTGTAGGCAAATTAGGGAGAAGATTTTCTTTTACCCACTTTCGGTAGTTGTAGTTCATGTCATCATGATAATCGCCTGTTTTTAAACCTGGCTTGAAAATGAGACCGGCGCTTTCTATAATGCTCATCTTGCCACCAGCGTGAATAATAATTAATCGACTCCCTTTTGCTAGTGGTTGCAGAAGGCCTTTTAAAGTATAATTGGTCCATGACCTTTTGGAAACACAATTTTAATGTATATAGGGTAAGTAGGGTAAGGTCGCCTTAGTCGTACCAGTTCAAGGAAAATAGCTATAATTTCTGTTGTAATATAAATAAAAGAAAAATATTTACAATCATAAAATCTTCTTTTATTAACGAATCAAAAAACATTGATAGCCATTTAAAAATCTTAAAAAAAAATGTTTTTCAAAGGTTTTACAAAAGCCTTCCTTCGGTACGACTTAGGCAACTGGTTGCCTTAATCGTACCACCCATGGCCTAAGTCGTACTTAGACTACTCTTATATTTTTCCAACTAGAAGTGTTAGGACAATTAAAAAACTGCGTAGACTTATATGCTACGAGATCAATTTCAGTCTTCCTTCTTCATCATCATCATAAGGTCATCAGTCCTAAGACTGGTTGGACACGTACCTCCACTCTTTCCTATCCTGAGCTAAACTTCGCATTTCCCTAAAACTAGAACAACCCACATCCTTAACTATTTGCGANTGACATGTGACAATTTAGAAGAGAATTACTAAATTTAAACAATTCTTTGATTTATCTCAACACTATCTTTCTTTTTTTATTAGTTCCTTGTGTTCCTTTTTCTTTTTTAATGTTTTTCAAATTTAATATAGGTCTCTTCAGTTTCTTTGTCTCCGTAACACCTAAGTCGTACCAGTACGATTTAGGAAGTTTATGCAGGTACGAGTTAGGCAGCGGAGTGTACAAAGTTATAAATCAAAATTAATAACATAACCTAGAAATCGTTTACCGTTTGACCTAGCTCATGTCAACAAGAAAACACTACAAAAACAGACATAAATCAAAAAAATATCGATTTCATCATAATCTTCTCTGAAATAGCTTACGACTGACGTAAAAATATTAGTGAAAACTGTGCAAAAAACTTATTTTTTCATTATTTTTCGAGCGCGAAATCCGGCAAGCCGCCGCTTATTGTTGTTTATCCGAGCGACTGAGCAGTTCCATATTGTACCGCTAGATGTCACCTTTACATGGACGGGTGCGCAGATATCAACGTGGTACGACTTAAGAGGTGGTACGACTAAAGGTACTTTACCCTATGTATATATGTTTCATCCATATAAATAATTGGTCTCCCTGCCTGAAGAAAAGCTCTTATTTTTTTTTTAAAAAGCGACTCGCAAATGTCGAATCTGCTTTTTCCACTAACAATTTCTTATTAGTTTGGGTTTTTTTCCACCGGAAACCAATTTTTCGCAGTACTTGCCAGATACTAAATTTCAAACCGCAATACCCCGTGTCGTCTTGGTATTTCTGGTGAATATTTTTCAGTGTTGGGATCATCTTTCGGTAACATAAAAATTATTCACCGTTCTTCTTATAACATCTTGGTTAAACATGTCGAAGTCAGTTTTACGACGTAGGTGTCCCTTATTATATTTGGGTTTCATAAAACATCTGACCTCATCTTCCTTTACTTTTTTCTTCTCCGAAGCAACCTTTCTTATGATTGATAAACTTAGTCCGATTGCTACCGCTACACGATATTGTACTTTTTCAAATGGAAGAATAAAACCTTTTTGTTCTTTTTTAGCGTTCATAAATTATAGTACATTTGCAACGAGTTTTTTACACTGAATACTTAACGCTTGTTTTCGTTATTTGTTGTTTTCCGTGGCAGTTCAAATTTTGCAACTGATACTGTACACTTTGGTCCAGTTCTAGCTCGATAATCGCTGGAGAAATGAGCTCCGCAGGCAAATATGATTGAATTTGGAATTATGCTACGGCGCATCCTGATAAAGGGAAGGGGCATATCTCTAACTACTTGAATTTAGTGTCCGACCGAAAGTTCAGTTTCGGTCGAGTTTCGGCAAAAAAACGAGTTTCAGTTTCGGCGGCAAAGCTGCCGAAACTACGACCGAAACCGAAACTGCGTTCGGGAGTTCTCACGCTCTGCTCGGTCATGTTCGGCGCGTTAAATTCCATCCAAGCAAAGTAGATTAGTAGACATTTCGTCGCGTCTAGGTGCATAATCATGTTGTGATTGGTTCGTGTTTGCAGTTCGTTTTGTTTGTTGTAAGTTTTTGATTGATTGTCAATAAGTGAAAATGTTAAAGACTGCAGAGCTGTGTGATTTAAAGATAAAAAAATAAAACTGACTGATTATAATAACGTTTTCTTTATTTTTCTCTCAAAACATGATCCTTATGAGGAAGTTTCGGTTTCGGTTTCGGTTTCGGCCGAAACTGAGACCGTTGCCGAAATTCGGTTTCGGTTTCGGTTTCGATCGTAAAAACTAGTTTCGGTCGGACACTACTTCAATTGAGCTGTAGCCGTATTTAGCACATACACACCCACACACACACAATTGCACGCATACACATTCACACACACGCATACACATTCACACACACGCACACACACACAGACTAACGACAACTAAATACACAATCACCTAACACATAAAACACACGGCTGAAGAGGACATGAACCGATAGGTCCTAGAACAGCCTGAGGTAGAGGGGTTTTAGTCGGTAGGTCCGAGGAGCGAGGACATCTTCCTCGGGAATCCGACACTACCCAGTCGTACGGACGGCTGGGTGCCTTTTGAAGATTTCCCCTCTTCCACGAAAACAAAAAAAAAATATTTAGGTCTGGTTCTATTTTGAGGCAAGTATAATACGCCCTTCGGTTTCTAGTTGTGGTCGATATGCTCCGTTTTTTTAGTTTGTTTATTTGTTTTCCTTACGGATACGCATAGAATAATAAAATTACGGCAGAAAAAGACAACCCTTACGAAGCGTTACACAATCATAATGCAATAGAATAACTTCATCTTTAGGTGGTTTCTAGGATTATCAATTCTCCAGTTTTAGCCCGGAGACTCCAGAAAATTTAAGTTTTCTCTGGACTCCAGTTTATAAAAAATAATCTCCGGATTCTTCAATTTTTATGAAAAATAAAAGTTACATTCTAGAATTATCACTGTGTTAGATGTAGAGAATATAGAAATAGTCTGAAGCGACGTGGGATAAATAGTACTAGAATTACCATTGTATCATAACAAGATTTCAATAAATACACATTCTTTACAAAATTATTACAAATATATGTACTTTTCGCGAAATTTGGTAATAACGTTCAATAAAACTCTTCTTTAAATTAAGTGTGCCATCTAATACGTTAATAAAGAATAATTATTAATTGGATTAATATTAATTATGGAATACATAGGAAATAATAAATTAGGTTAAATCCTACATAAATTTCAATAATTATTAATTCATTTAATTGAAATAAACAACTACCAATAAAAATTTCGATGTCGTGAGTAAAGGTAAATGTTCTGTTGAACCCACAAAACTAGGACGCAATAGTACTTACCATGCTACGTAACATTAACAATAGAAGTTTCAGAGCCTTCGAGAAGAACGAATAGAACGTAGCATAAATAGGCCAGAATTCAGCCAGAATTAGTTAGTATATGTGGACAACTGTTGAGTAATATAAATAAACAGAATGAATACAGACGAATATATGACTACTGTAAAACCAAGAGAGTAATATAGCTGTGTAACCTCGTTTATAATACATATAAATTACAACTGATGGACATGATAATCCTTGTTATGCATATTTGCCGTAGTGAATTTGGATTTTAGAATACGATTAAGCAGCTAAAAAAGAAATGCTGTACAACAAAATTTGAGCATGTTGCCAGCATAAGATTTTAAAGAAAGTTCAACATTCTCAGGAATTCACAAAAGCAAAGACGCTGGTTTAAAGATATAATTCCAACCATACAGTTATAAAGTCGACCCTGATCTTTTACGTACCTAAGCAACCTCTAACACTTTGTCTGTAATACTCATAAAGTATTTCTTAACTTAACAAAGGCGTGTTCAAAACAGAGCAAATTACTATAGTCCCAAATGGAAACAAGAAAGAAGACATGTCCATTTTCACAGATAATTTATTGCGGACTTTGCTAATTTAGATCGTCTCAACTATATCCTGCTATCTTTAGCAGTTATACCTTCTCCTTAATGAAGACGACCCTAATCAGGCGGATTGAGTACGCAGAATTACCGATGAATTTTTGAATTTTTCCTGCTTTAGTGATGACAATTCTCAATCAGAGTTTTAAATACTATCATTTGTATTTGTTGAGGTATAATTTACACAATGCTACATGCTATCAGCGATGAACAAATGTACTTATTCAATTCATTTCAAGGTGTTTAAACATTATGTGTAATAGTTGTAATTGTTTGTTTCAATTCAAGACTTCAATAATAACCGCCACTGTTTACGTTCTCCATCGATGTGGCTGCAAAGTTTTATTCCTGATTGCTGTTCATGCACACCTACGTTGCCAGTTCACGCATAGATCCGGCTTCGGATTGTAATTGTTTAAAAAAAAATTGACCTTACCCAAGCTGCTGAACACGCCATGCGATTCTTTATCGCATCTAGTTTGCACTGTCTACATTTATTTCTGTTACACCCTATATTATAAATATGTCATATATCTAAATCTAAATATATATATAAAATGCTAATATGCGTACGTACGTATCACCACCAACTCCTATCAGGGAGTTTGGTCGCGGTGGATGGTTGTGGGTGGCAAAAATGTGAGAAAATATATCTGTCCTTTTCTAACTTATGAGACCTTTTGTAAAAATTCTAAAAATTTCTGAAATGATCCAAAAAACATCAGAATGTGTGCAACTGTTACATCGATCTGGAATGTTCTAAAAATTCCTGGAATGATCTAGAAAGTTCCAAATTGTGTGCAACTGTTAAAATCGATATGGAATGTTCCAGAAAGTTCTATAAATATCTGGAATGCTCCAAATTCCCGCAATTATCAAGGATTTCTAGAATTTTCTAGATTTTGTCTAAATATTCTAGAATATTCTAGAACGATCTACTATTATTAAGAAATTTTATAGAGGTACAGGGTGGTCTGTCATTATCGGGAATAATTTTGTGTTCTGCAACATTCTAGAATGATCGAAAACGTTAAAAAATAAAGGACAGGCTGTCATTGTTAAGAATAATCTTGAATATTCTGGTACTATAAATTATGAAGTATTATGGTATATAAACCGAAATTCAGTGACTTTTCGTCAGTTTGATCGTGTTTGCAGTCGAGTGAAGATCAATTGAAGTTGACAGTGAACACTTGGTAAACAAATTCAAGTGATTTTGACAAATGAAAAAGAACAAACTATTTCAATATTCTGGAGTGTTCTGGTACTAGAAATTTCGATAATGTAGATAATATAGATTTCTATCTTAGATATTGAAAGACTTACCCCCGGTTTCATGGGCGATGATCAAAGTTAACAAATTGGTTCAACTGAATTTAGCCCATCATTGAATAATAGCGGAACGTGATTGGCTCTAATCAATTTAACCAAATTGTTAACGTTGATCAGCGCCCAGGAAACCGGGGATAAGTCTCTCAATATCTAAAATACAAATCTATATTATCTACGTTAAAAAGTGAATCCTTAAATATTTTATATACCATTAAACATGCGATGTATTTTAACCCGAGCAACGCCGGGTTTCGCTGCTAGTATAATAATAAGAGATAACTGAATGAGAATTTTAGTTAGGTACTTAGGAATTACACTGATCAACATATTTCTCATACATAATAATGTTTACAGTATACCGGATATAATGAAGTGAAGTATATTAACTACGTTTTTTTCTGTGAAATCCTGCAGCATAAAGCTTGTAAAGTTTAACTGAGTTATCATCTAGTAGAAAAGAGAGTTCTTTTCTATTACCACATATGTGTTTCTCGAATTTCGCTGATAATGTGCGCAGCACGCTGTAATGCCTGTAAAAAATTAACATTATTTATATAAGTAAATGTTTATTACAACTGGAACGCAAAATAGCGTTACGAAAATGTTAAGATACACTACAACTTCTAAATAAAAAAAAAATAATAAAACAATAAAATTGGTTTAGAGTAGGGACGGGATGATTAAATTTTTTAATTTTTTTAATTAGTTCTTTAGATCGTTAGAAATTGGTCCATAAACACGAAAGAATATTTATAAAATAACGCACACAGGATAAACTAAACTGCAACGTCACTGTTCAGCATTGCTATAAGATCACGCAAGAAAGAAATTTTAAATTCATAAATTTTCTATTCATGAATCGCTTTCAGAATTTTTTCCGAAAATATATTCATTATCTACTATTTTCCGGATTAACAATGAGGCAAGAGTTAGATAGAGATATTCGTATAATTCGATTGTTTAGAATACTTTTCTATTGATAATCAAAGAAAGTAATTATTGTTATTACAGTTAGTCGTTTCTTTCATATAAAATTTACCAAACTTTAACACCAAGATGCCTCTTGTTCGTATTTTCTACAGGCCACGCGCTGACTTAATCCAGCAGTACATTTTCCATTTAACCAACCAAATATCATTATTTAAATTTCTATCCATTACTTTTTTGAATTGTTAATAACAAAAATTTTACATTAAAATTCAGGGGTCTCCGTGAAGCTGCCTTTTATCGTTAGAACAGAAGTAACTAAACTTTAGATTAATATCAAATATCACAATATACACAGACTAATCATAATTTAAATAGTATACACTGTGTCTGATAAGTATTTCGGAATATTTCAAAGGTAGCATCTGGAGGCGCACTGTTGACTACATCTCGTGATATCACTACAACGTAAAGTGCGTAAAACTTTTGCACAAAAACTACCGCAGTTAATAAGCCGCCAATGATTGGGAACTCTCGCCAGGTTGGTGGCCGCGTTATTTGATAGCCCTTCGTTATCGCAAGCGTCAAATGACGAAACATACACGCTGCTCGTGACCTTCGCAGCAGCTGGTACGCAGACATGTCAATTGCAATATAAAAATAAGGTTTTGAAAGTATAAAGCAAAAAATCAATGTATTTGCACGTGAAATATGTGGAGAGGGTAGTCACATATGAACGGTGTAATGAGGCTGCACTAGCGCCATCAACTGAAGTGTAGTACAGCACTGAGAGGATTAAGGTCAGACAGGTCGGCACTGAAGAAATAGTTTTGCTAATAATAGAAGACAATTCCGGTTTGAGTATCCGAGTCATTATACGGCAAACAGGGATTCCGCGTGACGCACTGTGGAGGATTTTAAGGGAGAATTCCCAGCATCCACGCCATTATCAAAATACGCCATATGTACCTCCGTCCCTTTTGCGATTTGTACCGTAACCGTATTCCCGAGTTTGCGTACGGAATCCACCATAGCAGGCTGGGTATTCCTGGTCATCATTGCCGAAGCAATTGGGGCTTTCAGAAAGGTCATTACCCACATGTTTATGTATATCACTAAGTGGTGCGAGATGGGTCATTCTACTTCTTTTTTATGTACTTCTCCCTCAAATTTTCCGAAGTACTGATCAGACAATGTATAAAATGTCTAGTTAATACTTGTTTAACATTTTTTGTACTAACCATAAGAGCGTCTTATAAATGAAAAAGATACTTTCACTTACTTTTAACATATCAGCTGCTTCCTTACGTCTTTGTGCAATATGCTCTGATTCGTTTAAAAGTTCATCTGCATTATCCGCCTTGTACAAATGCGTAACTAATTCTGACTGAAGATTATCTTTAACATAATTTACTAAAAAATGCATTACTGCCTTTGGAACCGTATCCTGTACAGATTTTCTAACAATATAGAAGTACGACTTTATCAATCTCTCTGTAAACAACAAAATATATAAAACCGATGAATTTAAACAATTAAAGCACAAAAACACATTTAACGAGTTTTTAAAAACAGTAAACCCAACTAATACTACTCCAAATATCACTTGCATAAAAAATAAGATGAAATTGAGTAAGTATTGTTAATGGGCGAAATTTATGTTTCCCACAAAAAGTCTTATGAAAACAAAAAAATTAAGTGTTCAAAATATTTAATTATAGGCAATGTATCCCGTGTATCTTAAAAATTGTTTGCAAAATTCAATATTGAATTATGTATTCCGATGTTATGGCATGCTAGTGTTGGACCCTCATGTAGACCCGCATGACCGACAATTTGCGGCGTTGTCACATACTTGTTCATGACTTGTAAAATAGAGGCGATTCTGCTACCTTCAATTTATTTTCACTTCTGTAAGCATCGTGGGGTTATAATCTGAATTATACATAGAATTGAAGTTTATGTATATCTTACCGAATCGGAATACAAAGGTAATAAAAAATTATAGGAGTATTGAAATATGCCCATGTAGGTACATGTACAAGGTGGTAAAATTAAAAAACGCGTTCCTATCATGGGCGAATAATACAGAAATGTTTATTATCAGTTTTTGAAAGTTGCTGTTAACGTTGAGTCGTATGGCAGAATAAATTCTAAACTCGAAAAACTCGATTTGAACACGTCAAAAATTGTTGTTGTAGTTCCCACGTCATTTATCAAAAAACGAAGGCCTTAATCAAAAAATTGTACTCTTACAAAAAGATTATGAAATACAACAGCGTTTAATTCAAAATTTTGGCTTCAATAATAAAAGTGATAAAAATACAAAATAACTTATTCTTTGACTGGCGAAAGATCCGCTGGCTGCTTCGTGTCCTTCTCCTCTCTTCACTTTTTAATGAACTTAAATACATGATGGTTGCTGTCCAATGTTAATTAACACAATGTAAATGAGAAATTTTACTTTACTTAATTATAAGGAATTCAACATTCCAAATTGGTGTTTTTATCACAATTTAGCACTGTACGAAATGGAAACTACAACTGATGGCACTAGTTCTGAGAACGAAATTAGTTCACTTGTAAAATTCAAAATGCTAAAACACAAAAAAATTATATGTAATAACAGTTGAAGGTATTATAATCGAATGAACGGATAAAACTTTCTTTACTTTGATCGATTCCACTAAGATTCGGAATGATATAAACAAACAGGTAGATGATGACATACAAAAAGTGTTTACTAATTGTAACGCTGAAAATCTTGCTAACGGTTTTTAACATAAAATACATTATATTGCTTATGCGAGCAAACAAAATATTGAAAGGCTAGGGAAAAGAGTGGAATAACTGAAAGACTACAGAGCAACTGTATTAAGTATCCACCACTTCTTGGTAGATCGCTTCGTAAGGGTGGATTTGACATAAATAAATATATTTTTTTGTCAGAAGCGGTTTGCTGGGAAGAAATTGTCCCAAGTTATGCTTAAAAATATTAAAGCTAAAATAAAAAGCATTGTATCGATCTCCTCGAAGGTTTTAGAAAGAATAGGTCCCAATGACTTGAACAAAAATATCAGGTAATCTGCCTAATGATAGAATAAAAAAAAAATTTAAAACTACTCAGCAAACTTAACAACTTAGACTTTATTATTATATTGTTTGCTCGCATAGGCAATGTAGTGCATCACACCATCAGCATAATCTAGCATAATCTCTAGCTTTACCGACAGCAAACACTTTATATATGTCATCATCTATGTCTTTGTTTATATCATTCCGAATGTTAATGGAAAATTTTCATAAAAGTAAAGAATTTTTTATCAGGTCATTCGACTATAATACCTCCAATTTTTATTACATATACCTACATTTTTCGTATTTTTACATTTTGAATTTTACAAGCAAACCGATTTCGTTCTCAGAACTAGTGCTATCAGTTGTAGAACTATCCTGTTCATGCAGTGCTGAATTTTGATAAAAATACCAATTGTTATAATTATTATAATTAATTAAATATAATTATAATTGGAATGTTGAATTCCTAATAAAATTAAGTATAGTAAAATTTCTCGTTTAGATTTTGCTTGTTAACCCTGGACGCCAATCACCATGTATTAAAGTTTATTAAAAAGAGAAAAATTAAGTTAATTAGAGTTAACCCAGTGTAGTACTTTGCTCGTATACACGCCCAGAAAACTATATTAATGAAAATAGGTGTAGATAAATAAGAAACCCACTAAAATGATAGACATCCTTAAAATTTCAGAGATAAATATCGAAATGTAACATAGTACGAGATGGAGGTACAGAGATTTATGAGGCAGATGCGATTGTGTCAGGGTGGAAATGGGAAGCAACCAGCCATCCATCCCCCGGTCCAAAAATGACAAATTTTTTATCCATACCTCGTTTATTATTGAAGCTAAAATTTTGAAATAACGATGTTGTCGATGAGAGATACCTTTTTAAAAGTAAAATTTTTCTATTATGCTTCATTTTCGATAAATGGCGTCGGAACTAAAAAATTGTTGAATTGAAAAAAAAGTTTCGACGTATTCGAGCCTAGATATCCCAATTTCAAAATTTATTCTGCCATATAACTCAACGTTAACAGCAATTTTCAAAAATTGATGAGAAGTATATACTGTGTAAAACATAACTTCATTTTGCTGTACCCACCCCCGCGTTAAATTTTTATCACACCACTGATTTCTAAACATATTTAACGCTTCCGAGCGCTCTACTGGAAGACACCTTGAGCCAAAATCAAGGTCGCCTCTTTTGACAGGCTTGCTCCTTACCAAGCTTAAAGCATATATGTATACATGGAGTGCTAAAGCACCCTTACAACGAATTCTGTCATTTGAAAATTTGCTCTTCAATTGACACTTTCAGCGACTGAGATTTCTACCAATCACACGGACGCGTATTACAATGCTATTAAAATAGGCATTAGCACTCCATGTACTTATACTTCGTTTACTTTCGGTAGCAATGTGACCTTCAGTTTGACCAGCGCAAAGTAGAAAAGAACAGCAGTAGGCCAGAAAAGGAAGGAGACAAGTCTCGGTCAAACTCTTAACCGGTGAGAAGTAAGTAAGTACAGTACTGCACGGAAAAATTGACCATTTTAGCCACTACAATTGCATTGCTCAAATGTGCTGTTATTGGTACTACTGAAAATATCAACGAGATGTTTATTTATATTTGAAGGTTTTAATGCTTGTTTTCGACTCGCACTACTACTCATGATTGAACAAAACTTTTGGCAGGTACTGTATGAAAAAGTATGTTTAATGAACAAGAGTCGAGAGTATAATGAGCTTTTTTCTCCCTACCTACGATTTTGCCAGCGCGCATCCAAGACATTGGAAGGGGCACATCGCTAGAGAAAGTAAATGAAGTATATATATGTTCTAAGCTACCAAGACGACGAACATACATACATACAAATCAGTGTAGGAAATATTACGTATTCAAACTAAAATTATTACAAACCAATTATCGCACAGTCATGTTCTTCATTTTCCGACAATTTTCGATAGCTGTTGCTATTTAATGGTATTTGAGGAAGTAAATTGACTGGTTTTACAGGACTCAAAATTGATCTAATATCCGATTCCACACTCTGTTCTGGAGAACTATTTACATAATTATCTTGAACCTTTTCCTTATCGTCCTGTCCCGCAGAGGGATTTCCATTCCACCTTACGATAGAGTCTGCTTTGTCGCTTTGGTTTGCTCTAGATAAACTAGACGATCTCGCCTAAAAAGTCTTAAAATTAATAGCAAATATATATATATTAGAGAAAAATATGCAGATACTAAATAAATTTTAGATGAAGATGGGTGGAACAAATTAGTCTGAATAAAAAAAATCACTTGCATATTAATAAATTACATATTTAATGTTTCTGCTTTTCAGACATTTTTAATATTCAAAAGCTTGCTATCTGGATTAAGAATGCGCAAATACAATATATATGTTACAGCAAATACGTGTACACATGAAATAAGCAATGGGCTTGCTGATTTCATGTACTAAGCAAAATCGTGTCTTAATACATATACTTAGCAACAGTTTTGCCGAATACGTGAAATAGGTAGCCATGCAAATTAAGCAGCTAGAAGTTTTGCTCTTTATATAGGTACACAATGATAATTGATAAGTGTTTGCTCTGGGATGTGAAGTGCAAATACGTATAACAAAACAATATTTACTGTTTTCTGTAAACATAAAAATGGAGAATGACATCTTATTGGAATAGAACCTAATAACAGAATAGACAAATTTAAAATTGATACAGAGCACATTATTATTGACAGGCACTTAGTTTGGAAGGATTCTGGTTATGAAATTAACGTTTGAACGATTATTCGTAAAGATTCAATAGGTTTTGGCCAAAAATACTATAAACGCAAGTATACTAAAATTTGCTTCGTGAGTACACAAGTCAGTTCCACGAGCTGGTCGCGCCAGCAACGGTTTCAATGATAGTGCACTAGACTTTACAACAGCAAGAATTTCGTTTGATTAAATTTTAATTATACAAAGTGCTTCTGAAATAGGTAGTAAGATTTTAAGTGTTTTATGTCCGCGTTATTTCATATAAACCCATACAAACAAGTCTTGCGCATTCAGATCCGTAATATGCGCCGAAATGTAGTGCCTTGCGATTACTGTACAATTTGATCTTGGATTGGCACACTGAATTATGCCATTCCATCGATTGATTAAATACATCAACGTTACAACGAACAAATACCTACAATAGATTGACTGTAATATAAACATCTTGAATCACACTTAATGTAATCGAACAACAAACAATACATGAGCAAAAAATACAAAAAAAAAACAACACCGACGTTGCTAATTATTAACTGATTTCTCTGCATGACTTGCCAAGACCTGACTAGCGCTTGCATGTACTTTCAAATCAGTTTTTCTCGAAAATTGTGAACTTTTAAATAATATTTACTAAATTTTCTTATTTTATACTTCTCTATCATCTCCTGCAAGAATGCCACTTATTTCAGAAACACCCTGTATAATTAGAAAGAATCAGGGCAATTTGATCGGTCAATCGTATACATGTAAGGAATAGGAAGCAACCTAAACCCTCTTCATGGAATATGCTTCCAATATTACAGTTTTGTCAAAAAAATAAACTCATAAGTCGACTATGGCAGCAGCAATACTATGATGTTATGAAACTGAACATATCTGTCAAAAAGGCAAAGGAGAATAAATAAACAAATTTAAAAAAAAGGAGCGCACGACCACAAATAGAACCCGGACCGACCATCGATATACTAGCCGAGCATTTCACTACTAGCAGCAGTCAACTAGTTTTGAGTATAACTTAGTTCACTTTAACCGAATGACGCTTTAAGTGGAATAATGGCGTATTTCACGAAATCGGCAAGCCCGTTGTTTATTTTATGAATTAGGAAAAATTTTGCTGAGTACCTGCCTAATATGCAGTTACACGTATTCGTTGTAACATGCACGAACTGACGTCACTAGAAAAATAAATAAAAAATCAAATACAGCTGAACGTTACTGTTGAAATTTCATCCAAGTTACAGTTAAGGTTGCCAACTTTTCATACAAGAAGTATATTGACGTCGGTGACGAAAATTTTGGAAAATAAACCATTTAAGCCTCATCATATTTAAAACTAAATTAAAATAAATGAGCTCATTTTTTATCAAATTTATTGTAGCTAGATGTTTCATTCGTCTAACCACTTTGATTTATTAAAAGAAAAACATGCTTTTTGTAATTGCTGAGATCGCTGGAACCAGGAACAAATTGTAGAAAATTTTAGTAATATTTTTATATTTGTTATTTTAAGGAAATATTTGTCTTTGCCAACCATAACAAGCAATCAAAGATTGTGGATTAGGTACCAGCGATTATGAAAACAGTATATTGGATACTCTACTACGTATATTTTTAACAATAAACAGTAGAATAGAGCGAAATAAACACTGTTAATAACCGTATCATTGGCAACCCTTGTTACTGTGACATCCTCAACTGTAATTGAGAAAATTTGAGAAAATTGGTAGTAATGCTTTTGATTTTTCTCAGTGGCGGCTAGTGCTATAACAATGAAGTGGTGCAAAGCATAAGCCAAAAACGCCCAAAATGAAAATTTTACATTAATTATCATAAATAAGTATCACTTCCCAGAGCTGAAACGAATAGCCACCTACTTTGAAAAACATAAAAGATTTCAAAATGTGAAGGAATCTTCTAAATATTCAAGTGCTTAATATACTCAAATAAGATACTACCTGATTATAAATTATATCCTTATTTATTCTAATAGTGCAATATCTACAAAAAGGAAATATCTACACGAAAAGACAAACAATACTGTAGGTTAAGGTTCCCAATAAAAAAAATTACAATTGTCAAAATTTATTTATTCGCTTTTAATTAGCGTTCTTAAGGTGTAGAAAAAAAACAACCCACTTTGCTGTACTAAAGTTTAAGCAATTAACGCATCAACTTTCCAATACTATTGATTAAAATTAATAGTATCCAGTAATTAAAAGCATTTGTAATTTCCACAAATTTATTTTTAACACGTGCGAGTGAAGCGATGCTAATAGACCGGGAGCACACGACAGATTATAAGAAACGTCTCATACCAAGCTGCCTGTCAAACTAGTTATTGTTTGCGTAATTTAAGTGCAATTTAAAAAAAAGCCCATCCTTATACAACTAGTTTGACAGCGCCTAGAAAGAAAAAATATTCATACCCGGTTGCGATTAAAGTAAATGAAAATTTATGAAAAATAAATCCAGCGTAAAACGATTGACAGCCGATTTCAACTTGTACATCGTACTCTGACGACCATCTCAAAGTGTGAAAACAAAACTCGCAAAACAATCTTCATACCAGGTTGCCAAAATCAGAGAACACTTTGTCTGCCTAAATAGGCATAACAAAAATTGGCTGCCGGTTTGCACTTATACATCATAATTAGTTTGTTCATAGAAAGTGTAAAATTTTGTTCGACAAAAACCTTCACCAAATTTTTTTTCAGCATTATTTATGTTGCCAAATAACCATTTACTTCTTGACAGCCGATTACATCATGTAGATCATGCTATACCACACTAGCGAAAGTGTGCAACTATGTGATATATTCATCCCAGGCGGCCATTTTTTCCCAACGAAATACAGAATGTGTACGATTTTATTAATAAAATTTATTCTACGTCACTCATTCAGTCACTCTTATTTGTTTGTTATAATTACTATAAGTGCTTGTTTTACTCAAGCTGGGGCTAAACTTTTTTTATGACCTTTGGAGTTTTGAAGAAAAACTTAATAATAAACTCTTTTATATGGAAGAAACGTAATTTTTATTAACCTATGAAGTAAAATAAATGTTTAGTTTAACTTTTTTAAATCTCATTTTTAATATATCCGCTCGAAACAATAAATAATTAAAGGTCAAATTTTCAGAATTAACGTATCTCATTAGTACCAATCATCATCATCATAAGGTCGTCAGTCCAGTCAGACCAGTTGGACACGTACCTCCACTCTTTCCTATCCTGAGCTAATCTTCGCATTTCCGTAAAACTAGAACAACCCATATCCTTAACTATTTGCGAACAGTAATCTGACCTAGGTTTGCCTCTCCTACTCCTAACTCCTGTCTCTGCTTCCATTATGTCTCTGGCTAGACCTTCATGTCTGAGAAGGTGTCCTACCAACCTATCTCGCCTATTTTTTATTGACTTCCATAGAGTCCTCTGTTCTCCTATTCTTTCTAATACCTCAAAAAATTATCCTGTTTATCATCCTATGGCCTTTTCATTTGCTTTAATAGCAGTCTGGTATGAAAATTTTTGTTTTTAATGAATTTCATTACATTTTCTAGGCGCTGTCAAACTCGTCTTATATGGACGGACTTTTTTTATTCGTATTATTGCACTTAAATAACGCAAACAGTAACTAGTTTGATATGCAGCCTAGTATGAAACGTTTCTTCCAATCGGTCGTGTACCTATAATACACATAAGAGGTGAAACGAAAGAGTGCAGCACTGGTTAATTAATTCTTATACTGTGCATGGCAATTTACGTAGGAAAAATGTATTCGTATGTTATGCCCTGGTTGAGTACCACTGATTTTTAGGAGCGTCCTTAATTATAATATTACATACACGAATCGCGCAAGAAATCGCAATTTAGATCTGATGGTTTCAATAAATTACTGACAAAGAACTTAAAAGCTTTTTGTTATGCATAAGAATTCTGAAGAGTGAATTAACTCGCAAACCACACAAAAGCCGCCACTGACTGACTTACAAGATTTACAAGGTTAGTCAATAGGAAATATAACGAAAATGTACCTGAGAAAGACTAAAGAAATCATCGCCATTGCTTAGGGGCAATGCAGGTAAAAGATAACTAAAGAATTCTACTTTTCTTGAATTCTGCATTGTCATCTAAAGCAAATTATTATTCATTAAAAATTAAATAAACGCCTTAAAAATGCACAAAATGCTAATATAAAATAATAAAAAAAACCAATTTTATAAAATAAAAAGCAAACCACACAAAAATAACAGCTATGCAAAATAATAATTTCCCTGTAGAAGCATGCTACATATTGTGAGATTCAAAAATGTTCAACAAAGCCCATTTTTAATAAAGATATCGACTTGTCAAACAGAACTACTAAACTACGGTCATTGAAATAGCTAGAAAACAGTGTTATTCACTTAATTCAGTAATTAAAAATACGTAAAAACTGATCATGAATTGCATTCATAAAACTCAAAATCTGTGAAGTACAACTGCTTTCTAGTTAACCGTAAAAACTTCATGTTATGTAGCAAAAGTTGAAGGTCGAACCCTTATTATCAATAGTTCATTTTATGATAAAGACGAAGGCCGGCATTTTTTGAAAGAAAAATAGAAAAAGCAATCGGTTCTACGCCTACAGTACGACAAATATTGCAAATTTTTATAACGAGCAACTGAAAGTTGCTTCTTATTTAATCTATTCATAAAGAAATAGAAGACCCTTGTAATTTTGCCGACTTGTCCCCCTTCTAGATCAGACTATGAATGTGATGATTTCAATGTATTTGATAAGCAAGGATTGGCTTTCAGAGACAGAAAAGTTTCACCAGAAAGGATATGATTTTCTTTCTCAATATAAAAATAATGTAAATAGTATATTTCCTTAATACTATCAGTTTTTCTAGGGTAGGCAATGAGTTTCGCATTGTGGGCAGTGTCCACCCTTGCCTTCTCTTAACAACGTCAATACCTACGGCGTATCTATCTACCTTTTACACACGTAACCAAATAGAATTAAAACATGTTATTAGTCAACATTATGTTGAAACTGTCGGACGTGAATCACGATTTCGAGCGCTTTGGCTCTCATCAGCACGCTGTAAGCAGCGAACTAGAAGCCATTTGTAGAAATTTGCTACTTATCGTGGAATTCAAAAATGTTCAAAAAGGTTCTTTGGTAATAGAGATATTGAATTGTTGAACGTCTTCGAAAGCACAATAAGTAGCAAATTTCTGTTTGCTTAATGACAGATGGTAAGTCGGCTGGTATTCAGTCGGAGCTAATAAAGAGCCAAAGAATTCGAAATCGCGATCCCCTTATAAACAGTGTTACCACATTACTTGATAAAAATCAAAATTTGTTAAAAAGGGTACATATTCCTTACGTGACTTCCATCATTTTCCCCTTCATCTGTAGGAAGTCTCCCAATCATCGACTTTGGTCTATCTAATCGACTAGGTCCTGATTTAATCATAGAAGGAACAGCTGATATTTCTTTATGAAAATCAGGATGCTTTGTATTGATATATGCTAGCTCAATTGCCACCAGATTTTCCACCATAGCGTTGGTGGGTGGCAATCTTCTCCTTAACAAATGAGTAACAACATCAACTATACTTTCATATAATTTTGGAAATCTAAGCATTTCTTGTTGAACTTCGCTTCCACAGTGCTGAAAAGGCAAAATAAACGTTTAAATGAATATAAAAAAATATACATGTTTTTTTTAATACCTGTATTATACGTTGCATTTCCTCATGAATTAATTCTACACACCTAAGAGAAGGTTCTTCAAGCCTTCTAATTTGCCTTTTCACCAATAACTCAAATGATACCTCAGGTACGAATAAGGCAGGCCTTGGACCATTTGCATTCCTAAAATTTGAATTGAGTAGGTAACACTACAGTTGCCATTAAAACAAGTATAAATAATACATAAGTCACATAGAACTTAGAACTATTTCAAGCCAAAATTAAATTTTAATCTACAACCTCTTTCCAGTGTTTCGCCCTCTGCTTGGGAGCTTTTTCAAAGGGAATTATAAAGTTAGTAAAAGTATAAGCTTACAAGCAACCTTCCTATATTCTAATGTAGGTAAAGTAATATGAACAAACTTACAATTAGCATTGTATTACAATTTTTTAAAAATATAAATACGACTAGTTAAAATTCAGCAATATAATGTTTTATTGTTTTTACAACCATACAATTACTCTTGAAAAAACCTCAATAAAAAAGTAAAACTTTGGGAACAGATTGTAAATAAAAATTAGTTCTGAATGGCACGTCATAGTCATGATTAGGAAGAAAAAAAAAACGCTAATTATAAGTAATACAGTCAATGAAAACATTTTCAAAATAGAAAAGTACTATGCAGAGGAAATGATAAAATATATTTCTTTTTTTTCAAATAATTTTTTAATAGCTTACCTTATAGCAGTTAGAATATCCATTTTTGTGAGTCCTGCAAGAGGATGTATAGAATCCAATGTTCTTCCAAAAGTTTCATGAAATATATAACATATTCTTGCCCCACCACAGAGTTCTGTAGTTTCAATGTTCCTAGCTGTTCCCTCTATTGTGGAACAGTATGCTGATGCAAACTTTGTTATTATTTGTAGTAAAGTTTTACTTTTATCTGACACATCTTCACCATAAGAGTTTAAAAGCGATTGAAATTGAGACATCATTAAATTCACACGTGTCTAAATAAATCAAACTTGTGATAAAACGAAAATTTAAAATTAAATAATAAGACAACCTTTAAATCTGGCAAACAGTCTCTAATGTGGTGCATTAATAAACGATTTAACGTTTTTGCTAAATATGGTGTCCCATTTCTAGCAGCGAGTGTAGGATATTTACTTTGTAAGAATGTAGCCTCATCCTTAAGAGCATCTTTTATAGTTTTATTGTTTAGAATATCCTGCTGAGATCGATTTACAACACCAATTATACCCAACTTAACAGGTATAACCCGACCACATAAAATATCAATAGCATCTGTACCAGCATCCATGAGGTCTAATTTGGTGACAACAGCTAAAGTTCTTCTGCCATCAGGATCGACATCTTTCGCTATTTTAAGACTTTCAGACGTTGCCATATCTGTATTTGCGGTCACAACTGCCAAAATTATAGAATTTGGATTTGAAATATACTTTAAAACTAATTCCTTTATTTGCCTCTCAATATCAGGAGGTTGATCACCAACAGGAACCTACAACTTTCTTCAATTAAAAGAGTATTTAAGCAACACATATCTATTTCCTAGCAATTAAAGGTAAATGGATTTTTATTTTAATAATTGAAACTAGAGCATAACAGATAAACATAATAATTATCGATTTCACTGATATCAATCATTCTAAATTTTTGAAAATTGACTATTTAGGAATAACGACCATGATTTTCTCTACTGATAATTCCACAGTTGGATACCAATATAACATTGTTTTAATTATTTCCATTGCCAGTCTTATTTTTCTATTTTAAACGTACACTTGACAATCTGCTCAACAAAGGGTAAGTTAAGTAGAAATGTTGAGATAGAAAAGACAGAGCCTAGCTAACTTATACATTTAGCAACTAAAGAACAGGCTAGTTTAAATGCGAGATAATGTCCACATTAACAAATGGGCAATAAAGTGTTCTCTATAAACAATTTATATTCAAATATATCTTCTAACCTATATTTGTTGGGGCCTTAGTTCTGAAAAATGAATCCTTTTTTATAAATTAATTATAAATAATTTAATTTTACTCCTTTTCAGACTAAGCATCATAAATAAAGAACATTTGTTACTATAATTCTATAACATCTAATAATACAATTCTACCAACAAAAGTATTATGTGGTACCTCGGTGGCCACATTAAGAAGCAAGAGTCATGAATATTTACCTTTGTAATACCTGGTAAATCAACCAATGTTAAATTCACAACTTTAGTAGAAAATATCTTTAAATTAATTGGCTCTGCACAAATCCCTTTATTATCTCCTGCCATTCTTTCAGTTTCATTTTCTATTTCTTGTCTTACATCAGTAAATTCTTTATAAACTCTATTTCTTGAATGAAGAAATAACGCCCATTCTTCTAACTCCAATGTTCCTAAACGAAGCACAACAGGATGTTTGTTTACTGGATCATTTATTATTACCTACCATCTATCGCACTTCTGTGTTCTCTATCTTCTTTAGGACAATATACCAATTGAAGAATTAGAGGTCTTCTGGTGACAATACCAGTACCTCTAGGAAGAAAAGATCTTCCCACTAAACTTTCAATTACGGAGCTTTTTCCTGAACTCTAAGCATGTTAAAAAGTAACAAAAATCGATATCAAAATTGTACTAAACTGTTATTTACCTGAGATCCCAAAACAACTATTTGTGGAAGTTGAATGGAGTCGGATCCAACTGTATTAAATACATCTTGCAGTTTATTTATCACGGGAATTAATGCCTCCATTGAATTTAACCGTTGCAGAACTGACTGCACTGACTATGTTGATATATTGTACTTTTACATAAATATAACTTAATGGACTCAGTTAGTATAATCAAGAATACAAATCATCTTCCTATTTGAGTTACCACATAGCTACTTAACATAGACAAGCAACTTAACCTATATCATACCTATATATATATATATATATATGTATGTATATAGACATATAAATAGACATATATTAATGGATGTGCCTTAGTCGTATGTCTTTGTAATAATTTCTTGGCTGGAAAAGTGAGGGAGATGCGCACAGTTTCGGAGTAGTGCTATCTCTTTCATGACACGCTTACGCACCATCATGAGAGAGATGGATATTGTCCGAAACTTCATTCAATATCTTTCTTTTGTTATACAACAATTCTGACCGCTACGGCATGTCCAATACTAAACGTCAATGGATATATATCTATCTATTTTCTGTGGTTTAATCACTTTCTCTATGTCACTTTCTTGTTGCTTTTGACCACAGAAGAGAGCGTAGTAGTTAAATGAAGTGAGTTAGAAACTACAAAGAAACAGTAGGAGATGGTGAAAATCTGTGCGTATGAGTGCCACGGAAATTTTTCAGTCCAAAGGGGTACAGCTGATGGTAATAAAAATCTCCGACTAAAAAATACAACAACCGGCATGCATTTTTTAATTATTTTATAATATTGTTTTACAACCATCATCATCATAAGGTCATCAGTCCTAAGACTGGTTGGACACGTACCTCCACTCTTTCCTATCCTGAGCTAAACTTCGCATTTCCCTAAAACTAGAACAACCCACATCCTTAACTATTTGTGAACAGTAATCTAATCTAGGTCTACCTCTACCCCTCCTAACTCCTGTTTCTGCCTCTAATATGTCTCTGACTAGACCTTCATGCCTCAGAAGGTGTCCTACCAACCTATCTCGCCTATTTTTTATTGACTTCCATAGAGTCCTCTGTTCTCCTATTCTTTCCAATACCTCTTCATTTCTAACCTTTTCTACCCACGATATCCTCATCATCCGCCTATAACACCACATTTCGAACGTTTCTAACTTTTTCTTTTCCGCCGCTCCCACTGTCCATGTTTCGCACCCGTATAACGCCGTGCTCCAAACATACACCTTTAACAACCTTTTTCGAATTTCTAAATTAACCGTTTGCGAGCATAGAAGTGACTTCTTTTTATTAAAGGCGACACGACCCTGCGCTATCCTCTGCTTTACAACCAACAAAAATAAAATATTCCAAAAATAAATAACAAAGAACGAGCCATGAGCCAGGTAATGATCCACGATTTTTTTTTGTTTAGTTTATCCTCGAGGAGGGGAAATCTTCAAAAGACACCCCCTGAAGGAGGGTAGTGTCGGATTCGCCGTAGCGTCTACTGACTAAAACCCCTCCTCGAGTTGGGATTTCAACCGGAAAGTATTGTTACTCCCAAGGGAAAATTTTTGGCTAGATTGGGTTGGGGGGGATATAGACGTGGGGATGGGAGTGCATGGAGAGAATAATGTGGGTGTGAGTAAGTGCCCTATCACGAAAGTAGGATGGGGACTCGCACTGAAAAGCGAAATAATAGTCACGATATCAGGAAGCAGGGGCGCAACAACGTTGCAGTTTTACTGGGTGCTCCCATCATAATACTATAAACTTTCAAGTTGGGTTATTATTTGAATCGACTAGAATTGACTGGGTGCCCAGGCACCCGTGGACCCCCTTGTTGTGCCCCTGCCAGGAAGTATTTGCACTCCTCAAGTATATTCTCCCAAGTCTAACATTAAGAATAAGCACAACGAAGCCTTTCCGTTACTCCGTAAATAACGGACTGCTTTATCGTTATTTACGATGACGAATTGCTATTTGAACATCGCGTATGCCCCCAATGACGATAGCCAAAACGATTCGGTCGATACGACGGGGCTTAAAAAGTCTAATTTTGACAATACTAATGTTAGCTAAAAGGATAGCACAAACTGAGTGCAGAGGTCTGGAATTTTAACCCAATTGGATTTCTATACTAGTTTCCCTAGTCCATACATTAGAGATATATAATACTTTTGATATCTATTACTATACTATAATATCTCCTATCTATGTCCTTAGTCTCTCTTCTCTGCTTTCGTGCTTTTCATAGATTAAGTGTTTTCCATCTAAAAATAAGACTAGCGTTTTTTTTTTTATATGGCAGGTTTCGTTCTTGGGAACATATGTAGTAGCAAAAATAAGCAAAATAGCTATCCGTTAATACAACAAAGAATAGTGGGTAGGGGTTTCATTATAGAGCAATGAGCATAGATTAAATTATTGAGACAACATAGCTTGCCTATATACATCTACGAACAGAGATCTCAGGTGCCTCACGCCTCACCATAGATAATAGCGCTTCACTATTTTCTACAAATTTGTAGGACTAGGGGCGTTCATTTTCCTGTACTGCAACCTCCATGGTTGTAGTTCATAACATAAACTTTATCCACATAAAAAAGCGAAATTAGTGTAACCCATGAATAAAATTTTTAAAAATTTATTGCCTAAACATTTTAAGATGAAGTTGTAACTTTTGTGTTTAAATTATATTAATTATACGTACTACGTACATCAAGCTTTTAACCTAATTTGTATAACAGGTTACAACAACGTAAGAAGATATTTAAAATTAATTCAGACCCTCTTTTATACATTTTAAATTAGTATTTTATGTATCTATATCATCTTCGTTAAATATGGCAGGAGCTATGAATGACTTTCATTCTTGGTTAGGAAGAAAATTACAAGATCTAAATGCGGATGAAAACATTTTTGGCTCTTACATAATTGGCATTTTAGAAGGGGACGAAACTCCAGAAGAAAAACTTGAGGCTTTGGAAGGAATATTTACGGATACAAGTAATGTATGTTAAACACTAGTAGAAGATGTCGGTATTCTTTTTCTCTCCAAATTACTTTGTAATACTTTTAGGACTGTAATCTTCTATCTATTTGCACTGAAATAATAGATATGTGGTCAGTGCTGAAACAGCCTACACATATTGTTGATGATGCAATTAAAAATGTAGATATCAATCTTACTGGTGTGCTTGACTCTCATTCTCTTCAAATACCAAAACAAAAACAATATACAGATGAAGAGAAAAAAATTAGAGAGGCAATTTTATCACAGTACAGTCAAATGACTGATGATGAAGATGAAGTGGAGTGTGATGCTAGTAGTAATGGTAAAGAATCTGTTATTACAAAGAATACGAATGCCCTTGCAGTTCAAGTGGCCGAGAAAGAAAAAAGAGAACAAGCAAAATTGGAAAGCCTAAAGAAAAAAGAAAAAGACAAAGAGGGAAGGTAAAAACGTTTTAGCTTTTTTTAATATATTGTTTGGATTTGGGTAAAAGAATAAAGTAAATCCAGTAGGTAACCCAAAATACAAATTTATATAATAAATTGATATGTTATTGAAATTTAAACAGCTTCAAAATGTGTTAAATGTTTGTCGCAGTTCAGTTTTCCAAAAACTGGGTTCCAGTAGATAAAGTCTGTCATAATAATAATTTTGATTTTGTGTCTATATATATACTTTAATCAAATTTAATTTATTTAACTAGTTAGAAAATTATTTAGTGTGTTTATTATTCAAAGTACAATGGTTTGATTTTTAATGTGTCACAATAAATGCTAATTGATATTATTTAAGTAATATAAAACACTTCATCTGTTTCAGTATGTATTTTTTTTTATTATGTATACTTTTTAGAGAGAGACAAAAACAAGCACGAGAAGAAAAGAAGGAAAAACGGAAAACTCAGAAAGGGGAGAGGAAAAGATAGCACCAGAACTTCTTTAATTTTTAGTGATTATTTATTACAATTATGTTATATACAGAGAAATAAAATATCTCTGCATTAAAATAGTTGTTTCTGTATCAAAAGTGATCTTGGGAGACTAAATTACGAAATTAAAATAATTATTCGCTGGTTCAGTAAAGTAAGAAACTATTATAAGACTTCTAGAAGTTATCTAGGGAAATGTATGTATACCATGTATTACATTTAACCTACCCCTAACCAAAGGTTGATATTTTCAAAAGAGACAGTCGCCTGTCCTATATAGTCAACCTTCTCCACGAGGGATAACTTTGGAATATCAAATGGGAACCTCAATTCTTTAATTCCTTCTAATCTACAGTACTTAGATTTTGTCTGAAACATTGTTTTCGATCACTAGGTGCCGCTAGTCAGATTTGTGGGTATTTCGTTAACATTCTATTGATAATACTATCTATGAACTTTACTATAGATATAAGTTTTTGGGTTAGTTCAGTTTCCGGTTACATTATGTGAATGTACTTAAATCTTATTTATGAGCGAGGAAGAAGGTAACAGTCAGTTTTAATAAATGTTTTATTTAAAAACAAAAATATTGTTGAAAATTACAAAGCGCTCCAATATTGTCTCGACAAAAACACGACGTGTAAATGAAGGTCGTTTTTTCAAAATACGCCACAAAGAAGTTTGCGAAATGGCAAGCACAGATGGTCTCTTACGAGTTGACAATTCGGGATTTCACTGTACTGATCCTAGGTACTGATGGGAAACTTCCCTAATTTCTCAGTCAGTTCTTGTTAGCCTTGGGAGTCCCGTTTGTTGGTTGCCTATTTGTAGTTTTTCTATGATTTTCTGTATCACGTCTCTTTTGAGCTTTAGAACGCCCCTGTAGCATTCTAAAGTTGAGCGTTTACTTTAAGTAAAATATAAAGTAATAAAGTAAAGTGTATTATATTTTTATGTTCAGTTTTGTACTTTTATGTATAGATTATTTTTTGATGCATTTACCACAGTTAGATTCCTGAAAAGAAAACAATATACTTTTCATTTGTTTACAAAAAAATTACTAAATTACTATTATCATTTTTATTTACAAATACCTATACCCTGCCTATACAATATTATAATTATTCATTTTGTAAATATCAATATTTATTAAAAAAAACCGTGCCGAACTTGCAAGAGAATCGCGTACGAAAAATAATAAAAATAAACAAAATCAATGGTTGTTTCTTTTTATGTTGTCTATGATCATCTATGGTAGGTCTATGGTGTTGGTGTATGTCTGCCAGTTGAATTGTGTTGATTTTGTATTTGACTACAAACGAATTATAATCGGGAAAGATGGTGAGATTTATCTTAGTATGTTGTAAAAATCCATTATTAGAAAATGGAAAATAATGATGCTTAAACCATTACTAGTTATTTTTAAATAATATTTTTCAATTTTTGTTTAATTGGTTATGTTCCAGGGAAAAGTAAAATGTTCGGAATTACGTACAAAGGACAAAAAAGAATTGACGAAACAGCTAGACGAATTAAAAACAGAGTTAACGAGTTTACGTGTAGCTAAGGTAACAGGCGGTGCCCCATCTAAATTATCTAAAATGTAGGTATATGTTGCTTGAAGTAAATTGTTAGAAATTACTGATGTTTGTTTTTAGCCGAGTTGTTCGAAAGGCTATTGCTCGTGTGTATATTGTAATGAATGAAAAACAAAAGGAAAATTTGAGAAAGTTATATAAAAACAAGAAGTTCAAGCCTCTTGATCTGAGACCCAAGAAAACACGTGCTATGAGAAGGATGCTTACAAAACACGAACAGAAAATTAGAACACCAAAAGAAATTCGCAAAAGGTCTATATTTCCTCCAAGAACATATGCACTTAAAAACTAGATTTAAATAAAGTATTGTCAACGATTCTTTGTTTATTTGTGTTTTTACAAATTCAATTATTGAAATATACAAGATAAGAAAAGTAGTAACTTAGTTTAGTTGAAAGTGCTGTATACTTGATTTGAGTTCTAAGTTTGATATTAAGTAATGGGTATCCAAGAGGAAAATAGGATATATCATTTTTTTATAGAAGTAATAAACTTTAAAATGGTATAACTGGAATTGTATAGAATGCCATCCACAGAAAAATTCATACAAAATTTTTAAACACATGTTTTAGAAATATTTTGTCCTTCCAAAGGTAGTTTGGTGACGCAACACTAGCATTATAAAAATGAATAACTTGAACATATAGGAAAAGAATCCAGAAAATTACAAAAAAAATACGATAGAGTATAGAATGGGGTGCTTTTTGTCGTTGCTTAGGAAATTGTGGGGGGATTGAGAATAATTGCGTTAGGCAAATGCGGGGGATATGTAGTTTACACCATCTCTAAAGTTGGCTGCAAAATGGTAACTTATATTCACTAATTTCTTTTTTGACAGATATACTTTGGATTATGTGGTTACAATATGGAAGATAAAACAGTCTTGACGGTGCATTGTATAAAGTTTGTTTAATTGTTTTCTTATATTGTCCGGTTAGGTTAGTCGATTTATTATAAAAATCTCAACCCTAAACTAAACTATTAAATTTTATCTTTACGTGAAGGAATTGTTCTGAGCTATACAATGTAGGGATTCGAGTAAGTCTCAAAATGCATTTTTTCACTTTTGCTGGTTTACGACTACGGCTAGTTACTGACCAAACATGAAGGTAACACTAATCACTATATAGTATAAAACTATAAAACTAAGTCGCTTCCCGCTGTCTGTCCCTATGTATGCTTAGTTCTTTAAAACGACGCAACGGATTTTAATGCGTTTTTTTTTAATAGATANCAGAAACAAATGTCATAGTCCCACTACATATTACTATTTAAAAATACTTTTTTTATCCCATAAGCGCGATTTATCGTACATTTAATAAAAATTTGAATTACGATACCGTACATCGTATTTGAACCAAAATTATCGTATGTCCCCATATTTATCGTACAGGTTGGCAACGCTGATGATAATAAATCCCAACTTTTATCCCATACGCCTGATTTCAGAGAGAGCAATCTTTGCTATACTCTCATGTGCGAAGATCGAAAGCAACTGAGTACTGCTACGTTTGCATCAGTCATGAAAGAATTGAAGTTATTGATTTCACGCTAGTCACACAGTTATCAGCATAGAAGCTCTCTATTAATTTTAATACGTTTTCTTTTAATACGAATTTGTTTTGATTATATGAGCTTTTGATAAATTTTTCTAAGTTATCTAGTCATAAAAATCTAAGAAAATCTCTATCTGTCGGATTCACACTAATTTTGTAAAAATGCTTTCCTGATGTCTGCAACTACACCAATTTTACCTAGTCTAAAGCGCAATAAACTTGAAGATACTAGTTCAATAAGATTGAGATCTTTATGCAAATATTCATTTAATGGAGGCGATGGCATGGTATGGATAGAAAGTTCGATTCATTAAATAAATATAAAAACAAGATAAAAAGAAATTTTAAAACTAGGCAGATACAGCAAAAGTAAGTACTATAAACTTCAAACAGAAAAGTAGGAGGTGGGTACTTAAAAAGCACTAAACTAAAAAATTAAAATCTGACGAAAAGTAAATGAAATACAGGGTACTTGTAAAATATCAGGTATAAAGTTTACATTAGGAACTATAGGTAATTAATTAGTGAAAATCTTTATTAATTGATGGAATAATTTAAGTCAATTTAAATTTATTTATGAAAACGCAACAGTGACAACTTAGCAAACTTACACATTAGACGGAACTGACTATAGATAAAAAAAGATATAAAGAGAGCGGAAAGTTCAGAACATACATGAGATAAAATGCTTAATATGTCTATGGAAAAGTTTTTATTGTATTTTAAACAGAATTTTTTAACTTAAATGACATTTATAGTCATTACTGGCTCCTCATCATATGGAATGCCAATAAATTTGATGCAACCAAAATGGTACCAATTGGGATAGTAATCACAATTTGGTTCCCATTTTTTCACAGTGTTCTTCCACTGTTGTTTGAATGGCTTGAAAACGTTTACATCAGTCGGATGAAGCATACGTGTAGGAGGTAACGCATAAAGAAGGATGCTATCCTATCACAAAAGCCACATAACTCCAATGTCATATGGGAACGGTGGCTATCTATCAGAAGAAGAATGGGTCTTCGTCCTAGACTAGGTAAATAGATGTAAAACTCTCGAGATTTGAACGATAGTAGTGACATCTAAGTTTACCCCACATTAGTAGACGATACTTGGAATATATATATAAATGGCTAAGAAAACTTCGAATTTCACTGCCATCTATACATCAAACTATGAAGCGTAACCAAAGGCGCGCATTTCAAAATTACACTAAACATTATTTTTTTTGTTTTAAATGGAAATTGAAAAAAAAAACAAAAATAAAATTAACAAATTTAATAACAAAGTATAAATGCAGTAACAAATACAATTAGCACAATATACGACTAAATAGCAAACATCAATTAATTAAAATATAGATACTATTACAGGTATATTTGTATGAACAAAGAAATTGTTCTTTACCTAATTTAGTACTGCTTCCTGCTTCTACAGGGGGTGTTAACGATTCAGAAACTGCAGAAATACTAGCTTCTGTATTGTCCATTGTGAGTGTACTTTCTATAACAAATAATTATATATGTTTTGAATATTTGAAACTGTTATCTGCATAACTACCTGCAGTTGAAACAATTCTTCTTTTCCCCTCATATGTTTTCACTGGATGCAGTACAGTTTCATCTTTTAATGGGGCAATTCCGTCTGCTTCAATTCCTCTACCAGAAGAAGTTCTACAAAACATTTTTTTTAGAACTAAAGTTTCACAACAACAAATTACAATACCTGCCACTTTCGTTGGAACCGCTGTTACTTCAGGAAAATGGAAAGCGGCATCTTGACCTTTAACTCCTGCAGGAACTGTATAATCTACGCAGAACATTTCAAATTAATTTGACCCCGTAATAGTGTAGACTGTACATCACGGTTTTTCTGTGTTGGGCAGAAAACATCCTTTCTTTACTTATTGTAAAGCATGACTGAAGTACTTAATATATTACTTACTTTCAGGATAGGTAAAAGTACTTTTCACAAAAATTTAAAAATATTACAAGTTGTGAAACTACTCACTATTGCTCAATAACGCCCATATAACGCCACAACTACTCGGGAATTCCTCCGATAATCGCAACCGCCGTCGCATCATCTGTTGTCGTTTCAGTAAAATGTATGTCGCCTAGTATGTCGGTAATGTCGATTTTGGTAATTTAAAAAATTTAAAAACTTACGTGGGGTAAACTTAGGTGTCGCTCGCGCTCCACATTTCATACCCTTGTCTTCGTATACCATTGTTGGTAATCCATCTGTCAAAATCGGCAAGCATCTTATACATGGGAATAAGTACCTACAACAAGCAGGGGACATATTTTTTTTTTCACTCCCGTTTTAGGGTTAAGAGTGGTTCTGGTCCAATTTTACCTGGATTTTCTGGTACTCTTCCACTAAGTCTATCCTTAATAGTGGTTTTTACTACGCCAACTTCCCTTCTCGCCTGTGTAACGATAATTTTATTTTTAATTCCTTTTGTTTATTTCTTCATGATTTTTCATTTCCCTTTTTCTGTTTGCATAGTTTTTTTTTTCGAAATTGCATCTGCAATTACAGATAACGTAGGCGTCTCTTCAATTGTCAAAAACTAGACCTTTTTTCAATCATTCAAAAGACATGAAATAAATGACTGTTCAAAAAAGGGCATAGCAAAATCATGAAATCCTTTATCGGCCATAGTGTATGCAGTATATATAATGACTTACTAAGCATCTACAAATAAGTAGTCGAAAACTGGATAGTTTATTATTACACTCCTTCGTAATACTACATTAAAACAGGACAGCGTTATTTCTTAAGAAATAAAGAAAAAGATGGATTTATATGTACAGGTTTGAGCAGGTTTTCGATCGCACTGATCGAAAAGGGGATTCCCATAATTTTTATTGTCCGGTTATTCGACCGCTTAACCGTTAAGATAAATTAGCAGTAATTTGGCCATTTGATAATGTTTTCATGAAGATCTACAAATGTATAATACAATAATAATAATTGGAATCATGAAAACCAGGCATGTATGAAATTTCACTTACGATGGTGATTACCACTACAAATTTCACAATTTTAGACTTAAACCCTTTTGGTGTCAAAATCAACTTTCATTCACGAATTTTTGATGCTGTGGTCTGTGGTTGAAAACAGGAATGCAACGCTTTAGATTAATTTAGGAAGTATTTTTACTATTATTAGCGATTTTGTATGAAAATGGTCAAAATCCAAAGGTGATCAAGTCATAAATAAAGGAAAGAGCAAGGGCAGATAGATACGATGAAGGGATAGACGATGAAATGGAATGTGATAGTAGTACATCGACAATTTATGACATACTTCACCCGTTGAGAGGGTGAATAACCCGGCCAACAGTAAATAAATAAATATTTAATGTTACATTTAACTCTTACAAAACAAAAAAGAATATTCTATAACTTCTAAAATAATGAAGATTAAATACATAATTTAGATCTAATATTCGAAAACTAATCGCAACTATAGTTAGAAGTAACTTAAACTAGTTGAAAAGAATTAACTGAGTCACCAATATTAGAATGTTCAACCCATATTGTTGACATCTTCATTAGCAACGACACTAATTGTTTTATACTACGTTTCCGATCCTTTTCGTTTTCACTGCCACTACGCGAATTACCCGTCGACACCAGGATAAACTTTCACTCGTTTCACTACGCGTCGCTAGGGCCAATGGAGAAGAGGTATGTTGTCTTCTCGTAAGAGCACAATGCTGTTTTCGACGATTTGATTGTGACTGCTG